ACGTTGTGCCGGCACGATAACCTGGCGGGGCCGCGTGCCGTTCAGTCTCCCTACAAGCCGTCCCATGCGCAGCTGTGCCAGACGTGCGGGCGCGTATGTGCATGTGTGTGTGTGTATGTGTGCGTGTGCAAGTTGCGCTGGCGAAGCGCGCGCGGTCTCCTGACGTCTGAGGCGCCCACATCTTGGATGCACCACACATTCTTTTGCCACTCGCGTTGTCAGCACCCCCTAGGCCACAAGCGAGTGGAAGGTGCTGGAGATACGCTGCTGAAGTGGTTGTGCAGGAGTGTGCACGTGCCTCACAGCTAGCCAGATTTGTGGGTTTCGTTCAGGCATCATCCATTTCTCAGTTGCTGCTTTTCACTTGCACTTAGGTAGGCTAGCGTTACGGCAAAGTGGACAAGAGCCTTAGGTCTTGACACAATCAAAAATCACATGTTACTGGAATAAATTCGCACAAAGTGGCGCTCAGGGCATTCCACAAGAAGGACTATGGGTGGGAAACCAACCAAGTGGAAAGTCTGGACCAGAGTTTGCTGATGACATGCCTGAATTTGAAAACTCACCCTCACTTGAGCATTGAAAAACAGCTGGTCGTCTGTGCCTCAGCACACCGGTCTGTGTTGACTGATAAGCTGGGGCCTTATTTCGGACGGCGGAGGGGTCCGACAGTTGGAGCCAGCGGCGGGGCGCCCGGGGGCCGATGGGGGGCGCAAATAGGTTTTAGGGGCGCCATCCGAAATTTGGCAAGGTCTGAGAAGGCACCGGCGGCCTGGGCTGCGCGATTTCGACGTGTGCCTCGGGGGTACCTGGAGCTCTTTGTGCTGGTGACCTGGGCATGGGGCGGCGCGGGGGTTGTAGTTTGCACAACTTCAGCACCCCTGCCGGCTGTCAAGCGTCGTCACTGGAAGGCCCAGATGTCCACCATTACACATATGTGTTTCCATGAGCTTTTGGCCCTATTGCTGCGACGGCAAGCGCCAGTGAAGTTCAGCTCGCGTTGCAAGCCATGCGCAGCCACTCCCCCATCCCCCAGCAACTTCCGGCGCAGCTGTGTCCTCCAGTGTCGGTGGGAACAGATGCTTCCTCCAGCAGTGCCGCGTCCAGTCCCCCAGCTGTGCAGCGTTCATACAAGCAGGAATGCTGCATTGCAGTGTCTCGGGCGTGGTATGTACAGTACTACGTGATAGAAGTACACGTCATCCTGGAACCCGCGGGGACTCCAAAAAGCCTCTGTGGGTGCCCCCTGGGTTCTGTGCGGTCAGCCAGCTTGAATCACCACCCAGCCGTTGGCGCGGCCTAGCAAAAATTTATGACATGCTTTGTACCTCTATGCAACTTTGTCAAACGTCATCATGTATGATGAAATACGGTCTCATACGTCATGTTACCTGTCGGCGGCGGTGTGTGACTCGGGTTGTCGAACCCGCGTCTGTAAAGGTTGTTGCAGATGGTTCATACAATAATATCCTCGCAGAAACGCCCAAATAAGTAAAAACTTACGGTGTCAGGGTATTCATACGTCTACGTTGGTGCATGAAAAGCCTGCAAGGGTGAAGTGCTCTCTGTACAGCAGCCATGTCTTCACGCGCAAGCAAGCCAATGGACCGCGCCAATGAGTTGTAGCACCCTGCACTTGAGACGACACTGATGTATTGAGCGCGGCGCCGGTGCGCGGGGCGCCTGTGTACTTCAGAGAGTGCACGCCCTCTCTCGCCAGATGCAAGGAAATTGTGGACCGTGATGGGTATAGGCCTTGACCATGTGAAATGTAATACACCGTGACACACCGTATCGTTTCATGTGGTGCCAAACATCCCTGCATGGAAGGCGCGGCATACCGGGAATATCTCAATTACCGTATGTGCCTCAGCAACCAGCTCCGCGAGGAGCAACGTTGAGCTGAGGTCCAGCGCACCTCCGCAGCCTCCCTACAATCATCACATTAAATAAATACAAGTAGACTCGCGGTGTGCATGTGTCATCTTGTGGACATGGGTTACATAGCGCACAGCAGTTTGTGAAAGCGCGTCCAGCCCCCTGCTGAGGTGGTAGGACCTGTATACAGTAGTGTATGTTGAGAGGTTGAGGCAAATAACCCTGGAAACGGCCAGCGCATCCAATCATCATACAGGCAAGCCACATGAACAGGCAAGTATTGGCCTGTTCGAGCACCACCTGACCATGCCCAGGCGCTCGCTCCTGAGACGCGCATGCGCATGCGCGTCCTGGTCCCTGCAGTTCTGTGCTGCCGCCTTTGCTGAATCAATTGGGTGCATAGGGCGGCCTCATGCCCAAGCCAGCCTCCAGTATCAGGCCTTGCGGTGTGCCTAAGCCAGCATAAGGATGCTCACAGGATTGCACTGATGCTCACAGGGGCGCACTGGTTTCAACTAGATCGAGCGCCCGCCATGCTAGGTGGCACATAAACTAAAATGCCTGCGCATCTGCCATGCTCTGATTGAAAGAAACAAGCGAAGTCCAAGCAGCTGCTCGCTAGCTGCGAAGTCATCCAACATGGGTGAGCTGGCATCATCATGACCAAGTGGGGTCTGACGCCTCACCGACCGGCAGTGAGGCCGCTGTCTGCCACAGTAATGAGTGCAGACGTCCAAGGCACCACACACAGAATCTTGGAGTAACGGCAGGGAACTCGCGCAAGTCCAGGCCCACCTCACACAGGTGTTGGGCCCTGCACGAGTCTGCATGCATGCTCGGGATGCTTTCAACAGCACTAGCCAGACGTCTAGCTGGGTGATTTAGTGATGGCAACCCTGATGTGCAACGCGCCCTCACCGCTAGCCGGGTGGCGTGTTGCGAAGCCCTCACAAGCCCGCAGCCTCTCACTGACCGCACACCCGCTGGGCAATGAGGCAACGTATGTTGCCAGCACATTCGTGCGAACGGAACTGGTGTGACAGCCCAGCACCCCTGCCAGTGCGCTCGCCTTGCACGCTTCTCCACTTTGCCAGGAGCGAGCAGCAGGAGCTGATGAGTTCGTTGCTGCTTGCTGGCGACAAACAAATGAACAGCACTGCCTTCATTTACTGGGGTAGGTTATCCCAGGCCATGAAAGGGTGGCGTTGTGTGTGTCGTGCTCACTGCGCTGACCGCCAATGCTGAGGTGGTCTGTGGGCCTGTGGGATGTGAGGAATGTATGCCTAGCACACAGGCGAGCCTGCGACGGCAGCCTACTGCCGTTGCTACTTGAAGGAAGTAAAAGGGCGAGAGAGCCTGCACACGGACAAGCAACACACATCAGGGCATCCAGCAGGTGGGCTTGTCGGAAGTTGTACTACTCGTTGCCATAAAAACAGCAGCAAAACCGCCAAAGAATGTGGGAGTGAGGGGCACATGTGCATTGGCCTCGGCACGACCCAAGGCAAGCGGCTCGAGTGGGTCGCCAAAGAAGCGGACCATGGTGGCCATAGAACCGTTCTTGCTATTATAATGGTGGTCACCCGCAACAGCGGCCTGGACTCATGGCTGCACAGCCCCGCCGCTGCGTACGAGAGCCGGAATGGTGATGGCGACGCTGCCAGCGGCCCAACGGCGCCTCGCGGCACCGTGCAACGCGTGCTCAAGATGATATCGGGCGACGAGACTCGTGGATGAAATGCAACCCGGTCACCCGGCGGTCAGGTGCGGGTGAGTATGCAACGGCAAGATCGCGTGATGGGCAGACGGAGGTGCACACGCAGAGTGAAACGCACACCAGAACGGAGTGAAACAGCCGATCGCGTAGTGAGGTAAGATGATTAGCGTGATGACCATGGACGCCAGCCCGATTGCAAGTGTGCCATCTGTGCCGAAAGCACAACGGCACCATGCATGCAGGGGTTTGCGGTGTTGGCTTTGCACTGGGCGCCCTCCTGCAGCAGCTGTTAAGTGGGCGGGTGGTGCGCAGCGCCACATGGCCGCCGGTACAGCCACGTGGCAGCACGCAGCAAGGTGGGGGTCAGCGCCACCCTGAACGCGCGCACATTGTGGCCGTTGTGACATCAGTGCCAGCGCTGCTCAACACGCGGCGCTCATCTGCATTCAAGAGAGAAGACATGTGCCTGCCAGCAAAGGATAGCGCACACCATCTCTACTCGACACGCTTCCCCGCGGCTTGCCACCAACACCCTCAGGGCGAGTGGGCGGGAGGGGTGCAAGAAGGTCAAGAGCACACAGCCTTCCTTACGCCACGTTGAACATGAGCTCACGAGCCACTGTGTGCGAGAGGGGGGGGGGTGTACAGAAAGGGGAGAGAGAGGTTGGCTTGGGGGGTGGGTGGTTCAAGGGGCCGCTTGAAGATGCATGGCGGTGACGCAGCACACATTGCAAGCAGTTGCATGGCCAAACAACTGCAGTGCAAGACCTGCAGCGGCATGGTCTCCTTGCCAAACATCGGGTCACCTGTGCTGCTCACGGCCGAGGGTGGGCCGCCACCCGCGACACCACCGATGGGTCCCAAGCTGCTGCCGCTGCGGCCAATGCTCATGTTGCCCAAGCCGTCCTGCACTGCAGCCAGGTCGCTGGGCAAGCTGTGGTTCAGCGGTGTGCCTGCAGGGCTGGGCGCGGTGCTCAAGGACGGCCCCGGGGCGCGCCCTGTGCTGCACAACGCAGGGCTGGGTGGAGGGCGCCCGCCCGCACCGCTGCAGAAGGATGCTGCACTGCCGCGCAGGCTGCCCGCGCTGCCACCCAGGCAGCCGAGCCCGCCGAGCCCCCCGCCGCCGCCTCCAGTGCCGCCACCCATAGGAGTCGAGCAGCCTTGAGCATGGGGGACGCCCAAGCCGCTGTGCCCGCCGCCAGGTACGAGGGTCGGGCCCAGCTGCGGCACGCCTGGGGCACCAGGGCCGGGGCTAGGAGTGCCGCTGCCCATACCTTCGCCAGTGCTCCCGCCACTGCCGCCTGCTGAGCCTGCGGCCCCTGGCCCCGGTGCTGCTCCAAGGATCTCTGCCGGCATGACCTTGAGCCTGCAGCCGCTGCCTGGGGGGAACTCGATGCCGTTGAGCTCACGCGAGGCAGCCGCTGCAGGCCCTGGGGCGCTNGTAGTTGACGTAGGCATACCCCTTGGAGCGGCCTGTCGCCCGGTCGCGCTTGAGGTCGCAGTACTCCATGCCAGGGTAAGCCCGGAACAGCCGCGCCAGCAGCGCATCGTCTATGCTCTTGCTGCACACTACGAACAGGCGTGTCGCGCTCAACGGTGGGGCTGGGTACTCGTGAACAGAGCCGCCACCGTGGCTGGGCATGCCGACTGCAGACGCTGCCGCCAAGGCCGCAGATGCGCTGGCCGCCGGGGACAGAGTGCGCACCGGGTACGGCGGTGGCGGGTAGGAGGATAGACTGCTGCTGCCGCTGCCCATAGAGCTTGCATTGCCAGGGGAGGAGTGCAGCAATGGGTGGCCCGCACTGCCACCGCCGCCCCCGCCGCCACCACCGCCACTGCCATCGCCGCCGCCGCTGCTTGGGTGCACGGCCCCCGCANCCACCAACCCCGCTGCCGCTGCCAAAACCATCGCGGTGGTGGTGGTGCTGCGCGCCAGATGGCACCGTGCCACCGCCGCCGCCGCCGCCGCCAGGCGTCGGCAACTGCAATGGCCCGCCAAATGGCCCTCCGAAGGGACCGCTGCTGCTCCCGCCCCCGGCCCCGCCGCTGCTGTGGTGCTGGTGGCCAAAGCCAAGCGGGCCGCCAACCTGCTCACCGCCCAGTGCCTCCGGGCCCAAGCCGAGCGCGCCGCTGGCCAGGCTGTGCAGCGCCATGTCCCCAGCAGACAGCAGCTGTGTGTGGTGGTGGTGCGCCGCTGCCAGGGGGTTGCTGGCGGCTGCCGCCGCTGCCGCAGCTGCGGCAGCCGCCGCGGCCGCTGCCGTATGGTGGTGTGCAGCTGCGCTTGTACCAAGCGCCCCACTGGCCGCCACAGCTGCCAAGTGCCGGTACGCTGCTGCCTGGTCCAGCGAGGCCATGCCCAGGCCGAAGGGGTCCGAGACCTTGCCCTTGGGGGGCACGGACGGTGGTTGGAGTCGGTCGGATGGAGGGGTCTTAAGTCCAAGTCAAACAGCAGGGACGCACAAGTGCAGCCACCCATACCTTGAGCCCGGGCATCACTGGTGCCGGGAGCTTATGAGTGGGCCGATCGGCAGACCCGCAGACAGCACCTGTTGAACTGAAGCACACGCCTTGCATGCCAACTCCCCCGCGCTCATCACAGCTGACTCCTCAGCCACGCACCCACCTGATGCGCAAGCAGGGCGTGCTGCAGGCCCATGTGCGTCCCCAGTCCTAGCCCTTCCAGGGCGCGTAGGCCGGCTGCCGCTGATGCTCCAGGCAGGCTGGCTGCCGCTGCACCAAGTGCCGCCGCTGCCGCCGAGCTGCGCTTGGTCTTGGGCTCTGCAAGCATGATCTTGACCTTGTAGGGGCCCAGTGTGCCCTGGGCATCGGGAAGACGAGCACGTGTGTGTTTGTGAAGGTGGGTGTTGGCAGGGCACCTGTAACCACCTGGGCCTGCTGATGCTGTGCTGCTTTCAACCCATGCATGGCTCGCACCCTGCAAAGCGCCTGGCAAGCGGTCCCCCAAGAGGCGCTCGCTGACCTTGGATCCAACCTCCTCGACGACGCGCAGCGCGGCCGAAGCGCGCGCATACTTGGCAAAAACAACGCCTTTGGACGCGATGAGGTCGGTCTTGACGTACTCCAGGCCATCAGTGCAAAGGCGGGTGATCTCGTCCTACGAATGCAAAGGGGCGGGCAGTGGAGGTGGGGGCCGCGTTTGCAGTGTGTGGATCGGGGCTTCAGATGTGCAGGCGCTGACAGCAGGCCTGGGGACGATGCGCCGCTGAGAGCAACCAACGCCTGCGTCCACAAGGCAGCGCGCCTGTCGCTGGGCGTGCCGTCCCCTTGCTCACCTGGATGACTTGGGCCTCTGCTGCCTTCGGCACCACGACGAACAGCCGCGAGCGCGGCGGGATGTTGTCGGGATCTGACGCCAGCACTTCATCAGGGATGCGCGGCGGAGGGGGAGGAGCGCCCCTAAAGAAGCGAGACGGTGGCGCACATGAGATGTTCATAGGGTGTGTGTGGCTGTGCGCAGGGTGGAAACAGTGGCTGAGGAGTGGCGTGGGGGTGAGCTGGTGATTGCACAGCGCAAGCGCACCCGTCCCAAGCCTTAGCTGCGGCCCAGGCACGCACCCAACTGCCAGCCCACTATATTGCAAATCGCGTGGCCGCCGCCGGGGAACATGCGTTTGCGTGCAAACACAGCAACTGAGCAGGCAGTGCCGCGCGACGAGCCGGCCTCCGTCCTGTCATTGGGCCGAGGGCGCAGTCAGCACGTGCATGTCTGCGCCCGCTGAGCGCACCCAAGCTGCACACTGGCTACCCTTGCACCGCCTCGGCCGCCCTGAGACGCCAATTGCGCTCTCACACCACCGCTCCTGCAAAATTGCGGGGCCCGCACCTCTGAGTGGGCTCCTCCGCCAGTAGCACCTTGAGCTTGGGGCCGCGCCCATTGTTCAAGACGGCGCCATTGAGCGCCTCCATCGCCAGCGCGGCTGACGAGGCTTTGTCAAACTTGACGTAAGCAACTGCGAGGTGGCAATGCAACTTTTTACGTACCCGGCCGAGCGACAGTGGCTCCGGGCAGGATGATGGGACACTCCCCCGTGGGAGATCGCAGTTCACGGCCGTGGCGATTGCCGGAGGCGGTGGCCCCACGGCCAGATCAAGTGATGGGCAGCAAAGACAGCTTTCGGGAGGGTAGAGGTGGGTCGACAGACGCGTTTGTGCGGGTGCAGCAGCCCGGGTGGAGTGATCCACGCCCGCCTGGGCACTCACCCCCTTTGTCCTTGATAACCTTGACATGCTGGACATTGCCAAAATCGGAAAACGCGCCCCGCAGCGTGTCCTCCTGCGGGAGGGAGAGGTGCCAGGGCAAAGATCGCTGCCACTCGCAAGCACTGCAAGCACACACGGGTTTATGCCGCTGGCTCGAGCGCAACGCACCTCAACGGCCCTGCCGCATACGATGAAGAGTCGGGACAGGGGCACAGCCAGCGGGTCCGCCATAAGGATTCTGGCCGGTCTCGTTGGCTGAAGCTATGGAGCCGTCCGCATGTCAGTTTACTTCCCGAGCCATCGTGGAGGGTTCCAAGTATGACTGGCCGACGAAAGGCGGCCTCTTGAGGCCGCGGGGCAGGTGCAGTGCCGCTTCGTTGCCCGCTGCTGCAGGCCTCCTGGACCCGGTGGTCGTCATTCAATAGTGTCAAGAATGTCTCTGGAGAACGGACTGCTTACAGGGAGGGCCGTGGTCTCGTCCAGATCGGTGTGAACGGCTCTGGGGCCCCCTGAACTCGGCGAAACCTAGCATGTGCATGCCTGATAAAGAGATGTGGGATTTCAAGTCTTACGTACACGCAGCTCGAGGCTGCTTTACGCGCCAGCAACGATCTTGGGGGGTCGTGCTGGGCCAACAGGGGGGGCCTCACGCAGGGAATGTGCCTGGCAAAGCGCTCAAGCACGTCCACAACTTCTGATACGGTATCGCCGGTCTGGCAAGGTGCCGAGCAGCACGGTGGAAGCGGTGGAGCGTTGCGCGTGGATTCCAAGCACTGCACGCCGGGGCCGTGGCCGCTGCAGCGACGCCCATCTCCTCTGCTCGAAGGGACCTCAGCCGTACGCTTGCAAGCCGCACCAGCAGGCGCACTCTGCAGCGCAGCTGGCGCGAATCATCTGCGCTGTGGCCGAGAGTGCAGTTGGGCAGGGTGGCAGTGCGGGACGGGACAAGTAGTCAGCATGTTCAATTGCTGAGCGTCCTGCGGTTTGTGACTTAATTTGATCGCAAAGTGTTGGTGGCTATCTTATAAATGCTCGCCACGCTAAGAAATCACTGGTCAACGTTAAATTCACGGCCACAGTCAAAGTCCGGGACTCGTGAAGCGCGCGTGGGGTGTGTGTAGAGTAATTGCGACACTTCAAAAATCATTGGATTACTTTCTAGTATAGTTTAGCCCACAATAGAGCACCGCTGAATGCCAGCTCGGATATTCGGGTTGCGGACAGCAGTCACGAATGCGATCGTCCCTCCACACGTCATTCATATCTTTGCAAGTCAAATT